CTCTTAGAATTAACTGAACTTACTTCATACTCTCTAGTTCTGTATCACATCCATCAATTAAAAGCCATACAGCTTTTTCATACATCAGCTTTTTCTCTCAGTGTCTCTCTCTGCATCAGAAACTATAACTTGTCAAGTATTTTCAGAAATAATCTCTTCAGCTATGTAGTTTTATATTCATACCATTATTTTATTTCTAAATTTCTATTATTTAAACTGTATAGCTATTTTGTAATCATATCTTCCTTTCTTAGCTTTTAATCCATCAATTTTGTGCCCAAGGTTGATTGCTGTTAGCGTGCAATATGAAATAATGTGTTAGTCTGTATTTGATAACTCTAACAAAACTGAATAAGAACAATTGAATGAATTGGAACAACAAAATTAAAAAGTCATACTACTATTGTATTTGCAAAGATTTGCAAATCTAGTGTTGAGATAAAAAATTAAGCCTAATCTTTTGCCATATATAGGAAACAAACCAAAACAAAGTGATATATAACAAAAAATAAAAGAAGTAAAAAAAGAGGATACATGAGTTTAATGGAGTCCTGTAAAAATAATTTAAAGTAAAAATATCATATTATAAAAGATAATTTTATTTTAATAAAGATAATTAAAACTCTAAAATTAATATTTTTATTCACATTTGTTTTCAGACAGAAAATTAATTAAAATACGAAATGAAACTTTTTGAAATATAGGAAGCTACGAGTTATAATGGGAGTAGTGGGAAATTAAAACATTTATCTGACAGATCAATTATGACAAAATTGAAAAAGAATATAGTAGAGTAGCTTTATATAGCATACATGGATAAACATGCAACCTCATCCCTGCTTCAGGCCAAAATGCTTTGTACTTGTTGCTATAAAGTGTTAGCGTTTTCACTTCTGGACATATCTAACACTCACAGCTTAAAAGAAAGGTTTAATTTAGCTCAGCTTTGAGGGTGGTTCAGATCATGGGCAGCTGCCTCCAAAGCAGAAACATCATGGCAGAAGGAACTGGTAAGCAAAGCTCCTTAGGCCATGCTCAAGGATAGAGAGCAGTGTCACAGTGTCCGAGAAGACGAGGCAAGGGACCAGATGCAGACGTGAAGGCCACGCTTCCAAGACCTACCTGGTCACAGTCAACTGTGCTCTTCCAATCCCAGGAGCAGATCCCAAAGCCAATCATGTTGACACTGAGCTCTAACCACCACCTGTGGGATTTTTTACTTTATTTTAGTGCACAGGTAATTCACAACATTTGATTGGCTAGAAAGTGAAATTGTAAATTATGAAAAATATGAAAATAATATTGATGACAATAAAATTATCTAAAAGCTAATTTTAAAAATTTATTATAAAATGATTCCTTCTTTCAAATAAACATAAAACTTACACAAAAATTGATCTTATGTTTCACTAGAAAGATTTGTTCTGCAAGTTCCGAAAAAGCAGATGCCAAAAAACAGATGTCAAAACATGTATGGTGCTACATTTCATTATTAGAGGAAATGACAAACTTAGATATCTTTATTATTAACAACAATGATTATATTGATTATCTGAGAAAAGATATTAGACTATACTTAAATGTAGTGACCAAGAAAGAAAAATGTATTAATAAAAAGTTCATTAATTGAAACCAAAAAGTAAACTCAAAATGCTTATTTAAAAACCAATAAAAAAGAGAAACTTCTGAAAAAGTTAATAATGTAAAAATCATTATTGCTAACATTTATTGGGTACTCTTTGTCATGAATAGTTCTATGGTAAGTAATTTACAAAAACCTATCTGATCACATTCTCAATTTTCTGAGAATCATTCATTAATTTATTTCATAAACATTTACTGAGTACTAAAAATATACCAAAATTTCTATAAGGCACTCTGGACATACTAACTGAAGAAAGGAAATGATTTTAATACTCTAGAGCCATTTACATTTTGAAAAAATAAAGAAATATCCTCATTACAGATGGGAAAAAAATTCAAAGAAATTAAGTCAATTTCCCAAAGTCACATAGCATCTTTGGGTTTTTTTTGTTTTTTGTTTTGGGGGGGGTTTTGGTAACAGGGATCTAACTCGGGTCCTTGCTTGAGCAGCAAGTGGAGAAACCACTGAGCTAAATCCCCGGCCCTCATAGCATCTTTGTGTTTCTAGTATATGTGCTGCCAAAGTGGGCACAACCATAATGTGTTTAATCCAGGATTTCCTGAAGGTCCATGCTCCTAGCCACTATGTGATACCCCTGTAAAGAAAGAAGATAAAACAATCATTTATGCCATTAAAATTATGAAGCACATAATGGATCACTATAGTATTGCCATTTTTTAACCTGCTTACTTTATGCTAGGGACTTCAAATTTTTCCAGTAATCCCAAATACACTCTGCTGCAAGTAGTAATATTTCTGTCATATTTTACAATATAAAGAACTAAAAAATGAGGTGTTAAATAAGTTGTAGTCAAAAAGCTACTTTTATACCAACGACTCTGATTGTGAAACCCACACTTTGTTTAACTGCTACCACTTAGCACTCATAATAAAGAAATTAAAAAATAAAACTCTTAATAAGTACCACTGATATAACTTCCTCTTACATCATTGAAATTATGGACAAGATGGTTTGTTTTATCATAGAACATGAAATAACAAATTTGCCAGCAGAAATTCAACACATAGACAAAGAAAACATAGTTTTAAAAAATTAACTCCTCTGATAGAGGCAGATCCAGGTAACTTTTTGTTATTCCTATAAGTATATCAAGGAAAACATAATTTTTCTGTTCTTTATGTTGATGCAAAATATAGGCAATAGAAACATTTTGGCACATTTACCAGGCAATTCTCAACCATTATGTCACATCTGTCAAAGCTAGCTATACACAATCAAGCACAAACTCACTAAGTATATACAAAAACAACCTTGGTTAGCTACAATCTCATCTTTGAATATACCAGGAAAAATCCTAAATAAAAATCCACAAATCAATTCTGATTTATAGTAAAATGTCATGCCATTGCTGATGTATCAGTTTTGTAGGAATGCGAAGTCCAACATTTCTAGGTATTAAATATATGTACCTAAACACACAAGCAAAACTGTCAACTCTTTAATTCTGCAATCTCATATTTTATTTCTAAGAAAACAAGGAAGGTATTCAAAGATATGAGAGGAACTTAGCATTATTTATATTAATGTGTATTGCCATGTTCCCTATAGGGAAAATAATATATTTTTTGCTATAATAATATTTTGGAAAATATTCTAAACATATCATTTTGAAATGTTAGAAGAACTATAAGTAAGATATAACAAAGCACTTTTGTTTTTTAAAAGAAAAATATCAGCTGGCTATGAATAACTCTGCTGAAGAGGAGGCATTTAGGACAAGTCTCGAAGGAGTAGTAGAATTTTAACAGATGTGATTGAAAACAGAGATGTGTTTCTGGGTCAAAAGATAGGGGCAGGAGTAGTGTGAAATCAAGCTGGAAAAGTAGACTGGGTGCAGACCATAAAGTATATTAAATATAAATAGCAATAAATCAGCAAAACAGAACTGAGAAAACTAAAATAGATGCAAGGATGTGAGAACCAATTATATAACAAGAGTAATAATCATATTGCCAGAAAGGAGTTTCACTTATTTAATATACTGAAATAATTTGCTACATTCCCTATCTCACTTAAAACATTCATATAGTCCAGATGGTTTAAAGATATCAAATTTTAAATGCTACTAAACATTCTGCAGAAAATATTCATATAAACTTGGGGTTACAAGATAATTTTCTAAACAAGAAAAAAGTCAAAACTATGGACTTTTTTGTCCTAAAAATTTTCATAGAATTGGAATGCCATAGTAAGTTAACAATACAATGAGGAAGAATATTTCTGAGCAACAGTTGTAATGGTCCTAATGCAGAGAAGAACTCTGAGAAATTAAACAATGCACACAAATAATTAAAAATAAAAGAAAATAAGAAAAATCAAATGAGTAAACAATTCATACAAATGTAGAGGCAAATTGCCAATAAAATGAGAAATGTTCAACTGTTTTAAAGCTCAGGGAAGTATTAAGTAAGCAATAAAATACAGCTTTTTATTCATCAATACTGACAAAACTTAAGATTGGTCACATAAAATGCTGGCAAGGATATGATGAAAAAGTATCATACATTGGTGACAGGTATAGGAACTACTACTATATTAGTGAAAACAATCTGGCAGTACTTACTAAATTGAAAAATGTCCATACCCTTTGATCCATTAATTCAAGTTTTACAAATGTCTTCTGGAGAAAATAAAAGCACTAGTACATGCTCTATGTGGAAGATATGTTAATAATAGCATTATTTTTTCAGTGACAAAAAAAAGAATAAAGCAAAACTGGTACTCCCCTAAATGTCTAATTATAAGAGACAGTTGATTAAATTCTGTTACATCTACACAAAGGCATGATATGTAGCAAATAATCAGAATAAGTCAGTCCAGTGTTTATTAGATATGGTATTTTAATAATAGCAAGTATATTTATGTTTTTTAAAAAGACAAAACTAACATTATACATATAGATGTATCTGTAATAGAAGCATATAAACTGTGTTTTGTTGAAGAAGGACATATTAACTGTATTTTGTCAGGAAGAGAAAGTTCTTGATTTGTTTAATTCATTACTCTTTTGTTTGACTCATTATATTAAGCATTTATTAGTAATTTTGCCAAATTACCTGTGTCATTTAAAAATATAACACTTAAAAAGTAAAGTATAATTCATTAAAATACATAATGTCTCTGAATTGCTGTACTGAAATAAGACCATACTCTTGTGCTCTACTTATCAGACAGCCCACATGAAAAATGAAGTATATCAACTGGCACATGGTCCTTAATTGTGATTACATTTAATTACACTCAGCCTATTAAGTGCTTAAATTACCAGATAACAGGATCCGTGTTCCTAATAGTGGAAAGTGTATTAACAGTATATTTTGCTCTCTATTGTAGTCCAGTTCCAACAATCACATGGATGAAGGCTAATGGCTATATTCCTGGTAAGTCACGACTGCGGAAATCTCAGGCAGTGCTGGAAATACCAAATGTGCAGCTGGATGATGCAGGAATATATGAATGCAGAGCTGAAAACGCACGTGGAAAAAATTCATTCCGTGGACAATTACAAATATACAGTAAGTGTTTTTAGCAAAGCATGATGCTCTAGTCTCAAGAATCAGGCCCACAATAAAAATTTAACTAAACATTTTTTGTTAGGTACATAAAAACCAAGTAATAATTTATAAAATGCTTCTTTTGCATGCCTTAGCCCCATGTAAAATTGTTTTGCACTCAAAAATATTTTAAATTAAAACTTAATGAGGAATTATCAATCTCTTTGAATAGCATACAGAATTTTCATCCTTTAAAAGGATATATTTTCCTGGTATTAACACCATCCTGTGATGAGTTAAAAATCTTATATACTTTATTAAATTAATCTAGATCTTGGCTTGAATTAATGGTTAAAATCTATTGCCCTTGAACTAAATCCTGTCCAGCTGCTTCTTTCGAGTAAATAAGATTTTACTGAAACACAATCATACCAATTTTGTTTACATATGGGCTATGTCACCTTTTGCCTGGCTGTTGCAGAATTAAAGCCAGAGACCAGCTGATTTGCAAATCTTGTAATATTGCTATCCGGTACTTTGTAGAAAAAGTTTGCTGACTTCTGACCTAAATTAATATATCAGTATGATATATAGCTTCTACAGACTATAGGCATTTATATTGCCCCAAAATACCAAAGAACCAACCAAGTAATGTGTAAGAAATTGGATCATCTGTTTCCAAATTTTTACAATCTCATCTTTTCCTCTAAAGATTACAAATCATTTCCACTTTTCATATTTACTTGTATAATGCATACAATATGTAAGTGACAGAATTCTCATTTTCCACACAAAGACACTAAAAAAGAGAAGACTACAATACGCCAGGTCACTGGTATAAGCAAGTATAAATTCTTTTTTGTCCAAATATGCAAGGAACTCTTTCCCTGGATTTCAATATCTGTTCTTCTAAAAGGCACAATATTATATATGGGGACTCTAAAAAAATATTTTCAGACATAATGTCCAAATTCAACCTGCTTTTTTCCATATAACAACTCTTAGAAATTCAGCACTGTAACCACATTGACTATTCCATGTACATTTTATTCATTCAAGTAATTTTAATTGTTTCATACTGCTAGACATGCTAAACATACAGCTTTACAGGAACTCATGGTCAAATTTGATTCGATGAAAGGGAGCCCCATATTAGTAGAGAGCAGGTGCCATGATAAAGGCATGTGAAAAAGGCTGTGAAACTGCAGAGTCTTTCGTATTTTATTCAGAGGACCTGGGAAAGCCTTAAAAAGGATGGCTACCTGAAAGGCTAAACTCAGAAAGTATCTCAAAGAAGAAGATATAGAATCCATTAATAATTTGTAAGATTGAAATACCGGCTTTGCTTTGGATGATGCTTTATTTGGATGAAATCTACAAAGTTCATAATTTTGGATTAAATTCATACTGTTCATAACTATCCACAAATCTTTAAAGCAAATCATTAGGACAATTCTCTAACCATAGAGGAAAAATGTTGTTTCTGTACCCCAATGGAACAATAATTAACCTTTGAAGTTGTTGTTATTTTATCCTCAAAGCAACAGAATGAAATATTATTAACTCCTCTTTGAAAAAAATTAATACTAAAAAAGAAGTGTTTAAGCACAACTCAAGATCATAAATACACACACACACACACACAATGTTAACAAATACTTATTACTATTAAAGCTATTACATAAAGGTACCAAATATCTTTGTTTTGAGAATGGCCCACACATAGGTAAACTATTTGAGATGGAGGCTCTTACACGACTCCACTCACCTTGTTCCTCTCCTTACCACAAGCACTTCATTCTTAGGCAGTAATGATTATTTCCAGAAGTATAGAAAATTGCCTTGACTCAATATTATTGATGTACATTTTTTTCCTGATGTACTTCCCGATGAGAAGATTTGCCTATGAAACTGTCACTGAGAAACAATCTGTGGGTTCTTGTTGTAGATAACTGTAGGGTAGCCAGGTAAAGAAAAACATGCCAAAGCAAAGAGAAAATTAATCTGGATTATTGTCTAGAAAGAGAATCTAGACAACCTATACCCATTTGGCATCCGTGTGATCTCTTGCTGTTGCCTATGATTAGGATGGCTTCCATCAAGCTCCATCATGTGGCCATACATTTTGATTTTCCGTAGATAATCCCAGTTTATATCTGTTGCCTTAAGAATGATGGTAAACCATTTAGAGACTGAGTGCCCAAACCACAACCCCAAACCCACTTATTTATCACAAAGTGCCAACACTGCAATTAAACTCAAATACTGTGGTTTTAGTTTAGAAAAAACATTTGTTATCCAATGCTCAGCTCCTGAGGCAACTTGGCTCATGTGCCAACATAGAGGGCTTTGGATGCTCACTGTAGTTCTTGTGTATAGGTTCGCCACTACTCCCTAGAACAATTATGAACGTATCTATTTCACTTCCAGAAGTACCTTGAGTACTTGACTTTCATACTTTTAAAACATGTGTTTGACTTGAAGGCTTTGGTCACCATTAAACTCTAAAATGTAGAAGGTATCTTGTCCATTATTTCCACCTGACTGGCAATAAGTATATGTGAAATCCAGCTTTTTGTTGCTGGGACAAAATCCCTGAGATATTCATTTTAAGAGGAGAAAATGTTTCTGTTGGCTCACAGTTCAGAAGTTTTAGTTAATGGTCACTTGTGCTTTTGTCCTTGGGCCAATGGCAGGGCAGTACATCATAACAGGAGTTTGTAGGAAAGCAAGGTGTTCACATCATGGTGGCTAAGAAACAAGGGAGAGCAGAACAGGAACGGGCTACAATCTTGATACCCCTTTGAAGGTCAGGCCCCTAAAAACCTAACACTCTTCAGAAGGGCCCACTACTAAAGGCTGGCAACAGAAACTTTAACAAGAGGGTCTGTAAGGGACACTTGCAAACCATAGTAATATGGATCCTATGATGCCTGGCTATCCCACTGTATTCATGAATTATATTTAGAATCATCTCTCAGCAGAATGGAATACTGTTGGGCACTATGTAACTTGAGCTCTACCTATTGGGAAAAAGTAAAGACTGACTCATTCTATCCAAATGTTCAATATTCATAGAGTATTGAAAATAAAGATTTTTTTTTCTGTAGTTCACTTTTTCTTGACAGTATAATTACAAAAATGGTTTACATGCTTATCATTTAGACTCAAAAGATAAGCCTGTATTTTAAGGAAGATTTTGTTTTGTCAAAACCTTAAAAGTTGAGTGGTAGGTACAAATTTATGCTATATATTTTGCTTAACTGAGCATCAGTATTGTAAATATATTACAAGAAATTAGTCAACATATATAGTTAGACAAATTAAAATTAATGAAAAATTAAACATGTAATATAACATGAACATGTTTGAAAAATAATGTAAGAATTAAAATGGAAAATTTTGGAATGAACTATGGGATAAGCTATATAATTATTCTAATAAATATTCCTTTTATTAATACATTTTTATTCATGAAGTTTATTGGTACATTTTAGGTGTATAATATGATGACATTCATCATTGGGAATTTGTACCTTTTTATATGATATAGTTTTGATTCATTTTTTTGGTTATCTCTGTACCTTCTAGTTTCTCATGATAGACCCAAAAGACCTGGTTATAACAGTCATAGAAATTTTTAATCTTTTACATTTCCAATATACTGTAGGTTTAGCTTGGTGATTTAAAGTTCTCAAATAAAAAGAAAGAAAATTATGCAAAAACAACAAATGAAGAAAGAAGTGAGGAAGGAAGGGTATGAGAGGGAAGGAAGGAAGGAAGGAAGGAAGACAAGGAAAGGAAAGTGGACAATTTCTATTATAATTCCGTACTATTATAAAGATTATTGTTTAGATATGCACATAATTTTACATGTTTACTTACTGTAACAAATAAGGGGAAGTCAAAGGAGACTAAAACACTAATGAATGAAACTAATAATTGCAAAAAGCATGTTCTAGATGATAGACATAGACAACAAAGTAGACATCATACTTTATAAACATCAACACAATAAGCCTTGTTATTAGAATTTCTTAACAGATGAGGAAATGATGACTAGCTAGATTAAGGAATTTCTGGTACAAGGTCCTATTAAAAATAAACATTAGAAGCTGGAGATGTGTTGCTGTGGCTGAGCACTTGCCTATCAAGCACAAAGCCCTTGGTTTGACCTCCAATATATCAGTAATAATAAAAATGCCCTAATAATAATCACAAGTAGAATCCAACATAGAACTGGTAATGACACCAGAATTCAACTTACACCCCAACTCTGGCTATAGGATGTTCCCTCTCAGTGAGATATGGCTGACCTACGCTAAAGCATGGGACAGAGTAGGTGATGCTTATGTATTTCAGTTTATTAATATTACAGAGAACAGTTTGATATATTCAAGTTCTTTCCATTCATTCTCACCATTTTTCTTTTCTTCAAAATCATACTTTTCTATATGAGATAGAGGGTTTTTTCCTATTTATGTTGGGGCTCCTGTGCAACAAATCCATGGTTTTTGACATGCTAAATAAGTGCTGTAGCACTGTGCCACATTCACAGCCCTAAGTAGAATTTTTTAAAGCATTTTAGCTATGAAAATATATGACAAGTTTATTGTGGGAAATGATATAAACTTATAGATTTCTGATTATTAATTTCATAATAAAATCTCAATCCTGTTTCTTTGGAGAAAAATGTTTGCCTTGAATTCTACTGTTGTTATGAACATGGTGCCATACATGTGTTCACATTTGAGAGAAAAGGAAATTGTATACAATGGCAATAGGTTAGAGATGAGAAGTAACCAGAATTTATTATGTTCAATCATTATAGTAGCTCACTGAAATAGAAATTACCATTTACAGCTTGCAGAGGAGACTCATTAAAATTAGGTAACTCATTCCTAAGCACGTATTAGAGCAAGGGCATCATAGCACTGGGATTTGAACCTCTATTCACCCCCAACTATATAATCTTTCCAGTGTTCTACATTACCTCTCACTGGCCCATAGTGGATAGTCATAATACTAAAAGTGATCTATGTGGAAAAAATATGTTGACTCCTCAATACTTTAAGAGTATTGGAATAATGAAGGAGGCCAATAACAGTTAGCATTTATCAGTAAAGAGCTACAGAATTTCTAATGACAAGAGATAATAAGCAAGAGTTGCTTTGTGCACATCTGCTTTGTGTTTCAAAAAAATGTAACCCAGAGACTGGATTTGAAGCTCAAATGTATTACATAAGTAGTTGCCAATATACAGTGCATCTGGCAGGGTTTTAACTGCTTCTGAGTTTAAAGTGCCATATGTCTCTTTAGTTTTCCACACCCTAAAAGAGGAAGCTTGCAAAAGTTCAAAAAAAGAAATGAGTGATTTATTTTAAGCAGGGCCCAACCCAGGATTTTCTTTTTCCAGGCAGGTCAAATATTCACCACAATGCAGGTCATGTCTTGGTATCTGTTATCTTCGCATCATTATTATTCAGAAGCTAGAGACATTGCCCTTTAACAACCTGCAATCTTCAGCCAATGAAAATTTCTAAACATAACCTTGCTTGTTTCTGATCATATTACTGATGATTTTGTTTTTCTAAGAATCTTATAAGGGCGGTACTCTTTGTCATATCATGGCCTAAAACACATTCTTCCATTCTATAATCAAGTGTCTAATTGTGTATTTTAAACATTCTATCATAGTCCTTCCACATAATATCTTTCAACTGTAGGTCTATGCAGTATAGAACTAGTGGTTTGTGAAATATATTGCAATATAAAAAAGAAATCTTTGCACTTTGTATACATGTAGCAAATTATAACAGTGTATCCCATAAATAAGTTCAAATGCCATATTTCAATTAAAATTTTAAAAAAGTAAAACAACCTGAAAAAATAAAAAAGGAAATCTATTGTAAAATTTGAACTGATCCTTTATTAAATACAACATTTTCCAGGTATATCACGAAGGAGGACAGTTTAAATACGAATAGCCTTAAATTTTATCCAGTGATGATGTTAATTTTTTCCAATATGGAGCTTAATTTTCACATAATCAATACCTTATTTTATTTGTGTTTGTGTCTGTGTGCATGTTTATATCTATATATTTGTGGATGTGTATTGTTCTGGGCCCTTCTTTGCAAGAAGCTTAAATATAATTGCACATGGCATCTAGGGAAGCAGCCAAGTGATATCACCAAGTTACCGAGTTTCACAGTTGCATTTGCTATTATGTCCTATAGATGTGAACATACACGTAGACATACAGGTCATATGCATGCACATACACATGTACATATAAATGAGGGATAGTCCTAGTTCAGGCCAGGTATGGTATCACACGTCTGTAATCCCAGTACAGGGGAGGCTGAAGCAGGAGGATCACCACAAGTTCAAGGCCAGCCTGGGCTACATAGTGAGACCCCATCTCAAAATCAAAAAACAAAACAAAAATACAAACCTAGATCAAAATAGCAAGATCTAAAACTTCATGTTTTTGATCTATCAAGCACTGATAAATTGATAGTATTTTTTTAATTAAGAGAGCTATGTCACAGGTCAGTTTTATTTTCAGAATTGTTGGTAGAGTGAATTTGTATAATGATTCAATTGTATCTCATCATCTAAATTTTGAGCTGATAGCAGACAGACATGATGGCATATTCACCTTTGTATGCTCAGTGTAAGCTTTGTACTATAGTGGTACACAATGGCAGGGATAACTTGTTTGATTGCTCTGACAAATTCATTTTTGAACCGGGACTTTGTTTTACCATTTTATAGAGTAATCCAAAATATATTTGGAGAAAAATTATTGCAGTCTTTAATTTTTTTCAAATGACAGTCTTTTTTCTGTTATTTTAACACTTTCTTAATTTTTCATTTCAGTCAATTTTAAGGTATCTTTTCCATTTTTAAGTCCCACAAGCTGTATATGCCAGCATTAATTCTAGCACATTAAGAGAATGATCATGAAATACAATTGGTCAATATTTTATAATTTTCTATAATTGGAACCATGTTGTTTCTAAAGTATATATTTTTAATCAATGGTTCCCTCAATGATCTCACTATCTAGCTCACATGTTTAACCAAAAATATCTTAGCAACTAAAAGGGACAACAAGCCATTACTTGATGATTTTCCAGGTGAGGAATAACTGTAGGTGTCCAGGGAATGTACAAATGACCCCCTCTGGTATTGTCACTAATGTTGAATTACTAGTGGGATTAAAAGTGACAGTGAAGACAGTAGGACATTTCACATGGAGTAAGTAGACTCAAGTACAGTATGTGCCTGGGAAATAGCAAACTGGTCTGTGTGGATTTCAGGAGTCACTCACAGTATGAAGTAGTGGGGAAAGCAGGGTAGAAAAGCTTATAGAAATCTCAAAAATGAAAGAGTTTAGTATTACTCTTATATCTTAGCTGCTTTCTCAGTATTTTTAGTATATATGGCATGAAACTATAAAGAGACTGATTTTGGAATCCAAACACAAAAGTCAAGATCAATATTTGAAACTCATTATGGTGAGATATTTGAATAGGAATCACAAAATGTATTTCATGGCCTACAAATCTTGTCTATGTTATGCAAAGGTAGGGCTCCTTAAAGACAAGATTATACTAGCTAGATAACCAATCAGCTAATAAAAACAACATTTCTACTTACAGACAAATAACTCACTTTGTAACTTTGTACAAACTTCTTTAATGGCTTTGAGCCAGTTTCTTGATTCACAAAATAAGATACGTTTCTTTGCAGAATGAATGTTGCAAAGATTAATTTGAGAACTTAGCTGTATATAGGACATCATGTCAACTACTACAATTTAATAAATAAGAGTTCTTTCTCTCTTGCTTTTCTGCTCCTTCCTAAACTGGCTTTGGTTTTGGATATCACAGATTCCTTATGATGGTCTTTCCCTGGCAATGATTTTAGGCCTTCTCTACTGCAGTTCAAATTCTTTAGTACGGGATATGGTTATTTCTCTATCCCTAATCATCTCTAAGATTGGTAAGGACGTTATAGTGTGAGATGAATGAACATAAGAATGAATGATCAAAGTCTTTGGTAGAACTGATAAAATATTTAGTAGTTTTTTGCCAAAAGTGTTCCTAGAGAAAAATAATAAATTCAGTTCAATTTTTTATATTTATTGCTTTGACTATTTTAAAAAGAATATGTATGGACAATGAGTCACATTTATATTATAAATTGGCCATCAGAAGAAAGATTTTAACTGATATCTTACATATTTTGTAAAATAATAGCATTGTCTTCTGATAAAGGAGTTTTTTCCTCTGTTGCAATTTTGAAAACTAAAAAAATTTATATTGGAAGATAAATTAAGAAAATTTACATACTAAGTAAAATTTTAATCAAAATTATTTTCCCAAAACTATTCAGGTCCTATTAGGAAAGAAAAAAAGGTCTAGAAAGGAAAGGAGAAAGGAAAAGAAAGAAAAATCAGAGCTACTTATTTAATAATAAGTTGTATTACTTCTTCCTATAGTATTCCCATATTTTGAAAGAACAATGCCTCTTAAGTAACTGACTTCCTAGAAAATGAGTTCTAGTGCCTCAGGAGAAGCAAATCACTTGCTTTAAAGCAGTTTCAAAATTAAACACACACACATCTACTTGACAAAAATGTCATCAAAGTATATTCATTGGTCTGTGTTTAACTTTCTTTTTGTTCAGGAAAAATAGTTCTGTGTGTAATGCAATGCTGTGCTTATTCCAAATATCTATGGTTATGTGAATTTTAAAATTAAAAATATTTAAATGCAATGTTTTCCATATGAATATTGAATTTAGTAAAGCATTTGAGAAATGAAATCACCCTTCCTTAATGCTTAAATACTTATAGCCTACCCACACTGGGTAGAAAAACTGAATGATACCCAGTTGGACAGTGGGAGCGCCCTCCAATGGGAATGCAAGGCCACTGGGAAGCCCAGGCCCACATACCGCTGGCTGAAGAATGGAGTGCCTCTCTTGCCTCAGGTACTGTTGGGAGCTAATAATCTGTTCTAGTGTAATTTTAGCAACATTGTGTCCAGTATAAAAAAGGCTTCTTTGTTCTTATTGAGAGACATTTCCTACCACTGCTAATTTCTTTGGAGTCAGAAATATAGCAAATATAAAAGCAAAAAAATTTAATCAACTCATTACATGTTTGAGTAATATATTTTTATTCAAATATTTTCAGTGCTATAAATTCTTGGGGAAATATCAATGATCATCTAAACTCATTGTCATTTCTGGCTATTAGATACCATCTAGCTTATTACCTTCCCTTTGCAGATGATGGAGTTAATCTCTTAAAGTAAAGGGAATTGCCCAATATCACATGTCTAGTATGAGTAGACCAGAATACAATATTTATCTCTGGTGTCCCGGGCATTGTTCTTTATATGATGCCCTACTAACCGCAGACTTAATAAGTGGCTTTATAGTAAACCATGATTTTACAGCAACTTTCTGGGTACTATATTTAAAATTAATTTGGTTATTATTTACTTTCAGAGTAATGGTAATAATTTTAACAGCTCTCTTCCTTGATTATGATCTTTGAAAGAAGGAAAACAGAGGAGGAATAATTCACTATTTCTGATAAAATGGAGGAGAAGCGTGTAAAGTTGAGACTCTGAGCACAAGTCCTGCCAGTCACCAGGCCTAGAAACTTGTCTATTTTATATCTCTTTGAGTCTCAGATTGGTCCTTTCTAAAATGAAGAAATTGAATCAGATTATGCCCATAATTTAATCTGGTTCCCAAATTCTCTTCTAAAGCCAGCTAAGCCGAAACAAGATGCAGTTACACAAAAAGCCAAGAAAAAAAAAAAAAAAAGGAAAAAAAGGGACTGTAGAGCTGTTAAAGAAGTGTTGGGGGTGGATTCACCAGTTCATTCATTCGTATTCTCCTGGGGATATTCCTTGAGAAAAGGCTGTGCTAGTTTTCTGTTCCCATTCTCCAAGAAACATAAATTCCACCAGCACATTATATGTCTGCTAAGTGGAAAAAAAAAAAAGCCAGTTTAGATTAAACAAATAATTGAAAATAAAACACATAAGAATACTACAGAAAATACTGTTTTCTTTACTGACGAAGAAATAGTTTTAATTTATAAGATACATGACAAAATAGTAAACGGTAAATCTGTGTTACAAAATTACCAAATAATGCTTAATTAGATAAATTAGAGGCCCTTTTTTCTTGATATAGGAGAGAATAGGCTCAAAATCTTTGAGTTGCTTATTTTCTATATCTAATTTTTTTCCATTACAGAATAGAGTCAACACAGCTAATGGAGTATTGATGATCCACAGTGTAAACCAGTCTGATTCTGGGATGTATCAGTGTTTGGCTGAAAATAAATATGGTGCTATTTATGCTAGTGCTGAGCTGAAGATTCTAGGTATGCAGTTTTTAAGTAAATAAACAGACAAAAAGATTGCATCTTTTCATGCTTGAATTCTTGCTATACTGACGTTTTGTGATGGAGTTCTAAAAATGTTTTTTATGGCTTGAAAAGAAATGCTTTGTATTGCTGACAATTTTTGTAAGTCTTAGAAGACTGCCTTATTTTGTGTACACTTTGTTCTGTATCTTTTTGGTTTATGTAGGTTTTCTAATTTTCATTTTAATCTTAAATGGTTTATATGTCTTTTCTGTGGCATTAAAATCATACAAAGAAATACATGTTAATTTTAAGGAAGAATGCCTTGAGAGTATAGGAAATCAAAAAGTAGAATTCAAGCAGCCTGTCCCTGCTCACATAGAAATGGTTTCTATTTTCTGAAGCAGCTGTGTGTGTGTCTTGCAAGATAGGACTCCAAGATAAATCTACCTTTTCTAACCAGGTATTAGCCTTCATCATCCTCAAAATAAAATGGTAAGCTATCCAGAGGCCAGGCATGGTAGGCTCATAGGATGTACCTCTGTTAAGAAGGTAATTGAGAATTGGCACAAATTCCCTACTTAAAATTATAAGAAAGAGTCAATCCAGTGGGAGAGACTACCCTGATTGAGCACTGGGATGGATTTCACCTTTTCTCATACAGATAGTCTCGTAAATTTTGGTTCTAAAATGGCTATAATAAAAAGTAAGATTTACTGTCTCCTAAGAGTAGGCAGAAGGCCAACCATGTTTTCTACTTCCCACTTAAACACCCAAAACATAACATTTACAGAAATGTCAACAATCTTAGAAACTTGGGAAACTACCACTTACATGTAGGCTGAATGTAATACATCACAAATAAATGTATTGACTTATAAATGTTTGCAGTTGAAATTTCTCCACATTAAAAAAAATCAATAGCTAATAGAGGATTACATTTCAACTTCTCACATCTTAACCAATCAAATATTAATGTAATTTCTTGTCAACTAACACTCTAACATCTTGGAATAAAAAAGCTCATTCAGGCTACATTTAGTTAATAGTTTACCCAGAAACACTCAGAAATCCTTCTTATTCACTGTATGTATTTTCAAAATTATCTTTTATAAATTCTTTTTCGAGTAAGCAACCAAAAATATGAATTGTAATATAAATTTTAATGTTCTTGTGTCATACATTATATTGAAAGTTATGAACATAAAATATTACTGAAATACACATGAAATGGTCCAAAGGACAAAAATAAAGGTCTCAGATACCATAAATTTTTTTCACAGTCAAAAGCATTTATAAAATATCTAACAAAAAAGTTAATATTAATGAATAATCACACTTAGATGAATAAATGCAACAAATGAAATAAAATTTTGAATTAAAACTCAATTCCATTTGTTAAAAATATATTTTGTAAAATCACATCCAATTTATACATTAAAGTAAATTATTTATAAAATTAAGATTTATAGGTGGGAAATGCAGGACACAGGGTTTTTTCTCCATGAGGTAATATAAATTATTCCAAAGAAATTCCAAATATACTTCTGCAATTGGCCTCTTGGCCTTTTGCCAAAGTTGTCCACCAGTCTTTCATAATTGAAGTTGGTAATCTTAATTACAGCTAGTCATTTTATGAAATAGCATTTATCCATCGACCACATATTGTGTGAAATCATCATCTCCTAGTGAAAAGAGAGCCAGGAAAATATCCATTAATTAATAATAAAATTTTTGTGTTAATCTCATATATACGATTTTATGAGAAACATTTCTTAGAGGAAAAAGTTGCAAAATCTAGAGTATTCATTCATGTGAGATTATTGTTTCTGGTAGAATTAACAGTTTCTTTCTAATAGCTTCAGCTCCTACTTTTGCACTGAATCAACTGAAGAAAACAATAATCGTTACCAAAAACCGAGAAGTCATAATAGAATGCAAACCTCAAGGCTCTCCAAAACCAAACATCTCTTGGAAGAAGGGAGATAAAGCAGTTAGAGAGAACAAAAGGTAAGAAGTCTGCTTTATATTCATTGTCTTTCTTTTTGTTGTTTTATATTTTTATTGGTACATGTCTGCAGTAAAGAATGATTACATTCCTTGTGGGGAGTTGGTGCACGTACATAATATATTTTAATTTAATTCTTTTTTATCCCTTTCCCCTTCCCTTCCTCCAACCTTCCTTCATCTCTTGGTTCCCTTCCCTTTTGCAAAAACTTGGTCCCCCTTAAAATTAGACTTTCTTAATGTTACAAATACATACACAAAATATATGTTTCTTGTAAGAAGCTGTGAGGCATATTTCATAAATAAATATAAATATGGCTATAGTGGATAAAAATTAAAAATGCACTACTTTAATATGGTTGGACTTCTTTATCTCAGTTGTTTTGAACCCATTAGGAATTTCAGTAAGTTATAAAGAAAACAAACACTTTCACCAAGTTACTCATTTTGGGTCTGCATATTTCACAGTCCACAAATTATATCCGAATACTTAAGAATTGTGTTTTTGTTCGATGTTAATATTAAAGATAATATTAAAATACTGTGAATAGTCTTCATAATCATTTTGTGATTGAATTTGTGCAATGTAATATTTGTGCAAAGTTTGCATTTTTGTATTCAATCATTTGATGCAAAATAAAATCAGATTATGTTGATTGCTGCAGGCAAATTTGTAAAGAGCACAGGAATACTAAATGTGTAAATATTTGTCTTTGACAAGTAAAAGTCAAGGAATATCAAAGCAATACAACTGGAAAAGATTAATGAGAAAGCAAATCATCACATGATAATCTATGTATGCCAACTTCAGAAGTCTCAGACTCTACCAATCATTATCATATGGGTGTTACACATGATAATTGAGCTTTGATAAAGTATTAGCCTCCCTTGTGTAAAACTATTTCACATTGTTGTTTTAAAATGTTTCTTTTCATTCAATGTATAGGGATAAGGGTTTAACTTGTATTTGTCCAGAGGTAAATGATAATATAATTCAAATAAATTAGCTCAACATTAGGGGTCCATTTGAATAATCCTTTAATTCTGAAATATTTCAAAATTTTTCCTTTCCAAGTTTTTGTTTTGCACCAAGTCTGAGGCACTCCAATTTAAACTGTATATTTCAGATGAAATAATTTGTTGAAAACTTGGTTCAGTTCAGGCTCAAGAATCTTTCCAGCCTGGAAAGAATGATCACAATAGATCACAATATACATCTTGTTTTGAAAGAGAATTCCTCTTACTTGCCAAAATCAGAAATTGTGGTATCAGTGTTTCATGTGATTGAATCAGTCAAAAGATTGTTGAATATTTTTGGATCATTAATCAGAGAAATATAAAAATAAATCCTATACAAAATTTATTAAATCAGAAGTATTTTTGTGTAGACAAAACAAATAATTCGCAATGTTTTACCATTTTTATGAATGGGCTAAAGTACTTACGTTATCAAAATATATATCTTATCAGTTCAAGCTGTTTGAAACCTACTACTTTGTTTTATGTTTCTTCTTGGCATGTGGACCTTGTCCTATTTACTGAGTTCACCAATAGAATCTCCTTCATCAACTATTCAAAAATATCATTCCAAATATAAAAAGTTGAATGGTGTTTTATTTCTTGGGGTTTTTTTTCGTTAAAGCAAAAGTGTTGATGAAAATAAAAAAAAAATACGGAGCCTTCTATTAAATATAACTAAAATAAACTCATTAATTTCTAGAAGTAGGAAAATACACATAGTAAGTTTTCTAGCTTTCCTACTCCTCTTTCTACTAAACCCTTGGGTTAGTGAGAGATATACACTGACCGCAATCTCAATGCAGTTTTTCCAAATGTCAACACTTGTGGTTAAAGTGTTCAGGAAGGAGGTTGAAAAATAAAATATTTATGATTTTATTTATTCAAGTAAAAGCAAGTTTGGGTCACATTTATATAACATTCTTCATTTCCTAATCTATATATTTAGATCTATGTGCTGGCTTTATTTAATAACAGAGCCCAAATGTATAGTGAATTTTTACCCTTAAAGTCAACAAGCAAAGTAATAAAATACCACTTTTAGGAATGGATAATTTGTTAACACATTTCATAGCCTTACATTTCATGATTATCTATACATGAAATTCCAAATGTAAATATTTAGCGTTTTTTAACCAGTATCTCAATTACACAGATAACTTGTTTTCTTATGGAAATTTTAGGTTACTTTTCTGCTATAAAGCATACCTATCATACAGTAATAGTTGTAAATATTCATTTAAATAGAAAGAGGGCTGTCAGAATACTGTTAAGACAACAAGACCTTTGTATTGTTTATATTTCACATTTGGTACAGACTCAAATCATGCTTTCTTTTCTTGGAATATAAGTATGTACATGATTCATGTGAGACTTCTGCCCCTCTCATCTATCCACAACTGGGCTGGAGGTGTCAAATAAATGAGCCTTGCCCTTCATGAATAATTTTTACAATTAAAAAAAGATTGGAAATCTTGTCTATGTGACTGGGAGTTTCATATATGTAAAAATGATTAATAATATTATATTGGATAAATTGAGTTAAAACAATAATGTATTGGAAAGGAAATATTTAAATATGAAAATATGTATTAATAATTTTTAAAACCATAAAATTATGTCCAAAATAGTCACATAAAAATGAAACTATAAAGTTTATTTGCAGAAAAATCATCTTTTATCATCTGGAAATATATCAGAAAGTCAAAAAAGTGAATTACATTTTAGAGTTAACTGAGATTTAACTCTGAACTGTAAATACAGTGCTGCAACAACTGGGCCTGGAATCCATCCTTTGTTTTATCTAGAGTGACTAAGAATCAACTGGCTTACCCTTTGCTGCCATTTTTTGACTGAATTTTCTACTGTTGTTCTGTTTGCCCTGATGGGGACCGCAAAAACACAGCCTTTTTCTTATTTATCAGTTTTATAAAGAAATACAGAAATATTCATACTAAAGTTTAGAACTAAATAATTACAATATAATATGTCTTTTAGAGTAAATCTAATTAATACATCTTTACTTGCTTATAGATTATAAAATTGTGCTTTCTTTTGGTTCTCAGTGAATCCCTAATATATATATATATATATATATATATATATATATCCTTATATAAAGAGACAGAATTGATGAGTTGTTTATAGTTGGTTGTTGTTTATATCACAGAAGTCATTTATATCACAAAACAATTTGAACTGCTTCTCAATTCCATGATTCTTAATGATGATGACAATTTGTAAATCTGTAGCATTTATAATTTACAAAACATTTTAATATTGTGGGTAGCAGTATAATCCAGTATATAAGGGGATTTAGTTGTCCTGCTTATCCTCATGAGTTTATGAGCTTTTAACAAATTACCTATGGTTTTGTTACTTATAACAATAGAACTTAAAAGAGTAACTTTTCTGAGTTGTGAATATTGAATTAAATTTCTTATGTAAAATACATTGGCTGATATACAGTATCTACTAAGCACTCAGTAGATGCTATTTGGAATTATTATGAAGATGATACTGGTAGTGGGGTTACGAATAATAACAATTCCATTTGAACCTTTGAATTTTTAAATGCTGGGATAGATTTTAGTTATCAATAGTCTGGAAATAATTACCATACCCCTTTCGTATCCAAGTAATTAAAGAAAATGATACTTCAGCTATTCTCTGGCACTAAAAGAGTTTTTGGGTAATCTGTGTAAAAAGTATGTTCTTTACTCATCTCTTCAAATTGCCACTCTTTGCTCATCAAAACCCCAAATCTCCACTTTTTGTTTTCTATTCCTGGTATTGCCACTCATATCTTTTACTTACTCCTTATTTAGTATCTTTAGTATGCCGTCTTATACTGGAAGACTCTGTATTTACTTCTTTCACCATCAGCTTTATAGCTTATGTGCAAATTAATGACAATCAATGTGAAGTCTTTTTAAGACTTTTTAAAATTATTTTTTAATCTTTTTCTTTAAGAGAGCCCCAGATTTTGCCCCATATCTTCTGAAGATCACCAACACACATTCTCTTAGGTTCATTGATCAATCATGTCCATTCTCATACTAACACTAATAAACTTCAGAAGTACTATGAAATAAAATGTTCCACAGAGATTTTCTCCTTTAACATACTTTGATTCAGAATGTTCTGCTCATCAAATTCCTATTAGATTTTCACTTCAGTTCATTATTTCTATTACTTGGCCATTAACTTTTGTTAAAATATAATCATCCAAAATGTACTCCAGCAATGCACACATATTAAGATTTTTCATATATTCAACTTCTGTATTTTTTTGTGGACAAAGACAATCTCGGCTAAGAAGACTACACTGTTTGGAGTTGAGGACATAATTTATTTTTTTTGCCAAATTTACACTTTATTTTACACACACACACACACACACACACACACACACACTAAGTTGTAGACATGGCATTTTATCCCTAAATATTTCAGTAGTTATCTCCTAAGAACTAGGACTTTCTATAGAACCACATTGCCATGGCCTCAAGTGTGGTGTGTGCTCTACCATTGAGCTATACCCCTAGCCAAGAAATCTAATATTGATGCAGTAATATATAATATACAGCTCATACCAAATTTACCCAATTGTACCAATACTGCTACCATCAACAAACCTAATGAGTAAAGTTCAAGTAAAGCAATTGTTTTCTTTTTTAATCCTTAAAATAGACCCCACTTTAAACATGTACAGTAACTTTTGTATTCAAAACATTAAAATCTAAAAAATACCCTAGATGTAATGTGTAACTAAGACAGATGTTACAGGGCAAGAGATGCAGCCCAGAGGCAAAGAATTGTCTACCATGTGTGAGACTCTAAGTTTGACCTTATAAAAAAGCCATCAGGAGAAATTAATGGAAACTTTTTTTTTCTATACTGAAGATTGAATATAGGATCTGTCACTGAGCTACATCCTCAGTTTGGTTTTTTTGTTTGTTTGTTTGTTTTGATATGGAGTCTCA